CATGTGAGACAAGGCATCAGCAAAGAAATCCCCCCCCCCGGAATATATTTTAATTAAAAATCAAATCTTTTGAAGTATTGCACCCATCGAACTTGCTTAGGGAAAAGCTTGCGGGGGGTCTTCAGGGCTTCCAAGTTTTTATGGTCAATCCACACCTCAAATGGGGTTTTGCTTCCCTCCAGGAATTGTCTCCATGTTAGTAGCATCCACTGCACTGCAAAAGCCTCTTTCTCCCACACAACTCATTGTTGCTTTGTGTCATTTAGCTTGTGGGACATGTACGTGCATGACTATAAGTTTCCCTCTTTATTTCGCTGGAGGAGGACTGCTCCCATAGCCACATCACTGGCATCTGCCTGGATCACAAATGGCTTCTTTGGGTTTGGGTGTTTTAATACTGGCTCAGCTGCAAACAGCCCCTTCAATTTTTTGAATGCTGCTTGGCATTCCATTGTCCAGTTCAAGGACTAATTTGGTTGGGGCTTTTCCCCCTTTTCCAGTCTTCAACAGCTCAGTAATTGGTAAGGCAATTGTGGTGAAGGAGGGGAGGAATTGTCTGTAAAAATTTGCAAACCCTAGGAAACTCTGCAGCTGTTTGCAGGTATGAGGGTCTTGCCACTCCAAGATGGTTTTCACTTTTCCTGGGTCATCTCCATCCCCTCGCACAACACATGGTAGCCCAAGTAGTCCAGGCTGGATTTGTGAAACTCGCATTTTGACAGCTTAACATACAGCTTAGCGTCCAATAGCTGTTCCAGCACCTGTCACACGAGTTTCACTTGTTTGTCTATGGTCTCAGTGTAAATGAGGATGCCATCTAGGTACACTAAAACCCCTTCATATAAATGCTTATCTAGTACCTTGAGCATTTCAGCATAGTCCAAAAGGCATCTGTAGAATTGGTAGCTCCCAAGGGGACAGTTGAAGGCAGTCTTCCACTTGTCACGTTCCTTGATTTTTACCCGATAGTATGCCTCCCTCGGATCTAATTTTGTGAATATTTTTCCTTTGGCCAAGTGCCCCAACATGTCTTTTCATGGATAGGGAGGGGGTACATGTTTTCCACGCACACTCTGTTAATCCAACACATAATCTCAGTGACCCATCTTTCTTTTCTTCAAATAGTACTGGTGCTGCTACTCAAGATTTCACTGCCTGGATAATCCCCCTCGCTAAATTCTTATCAATGTAGTCCCTCAGCTCCTTCAGCTCCTTTGGAGTCATGGAATACATTTTCAGTTTAGGGAGCTTCACTCCGGGCAGGATCTTGATAGCACAGTCTGTGGGGCGGTGAGGAGGCAGGATGTCACATTCTTTCTTGCTGAATGCCTCCATGAGGTCTTCGTACTCCTTTGGGACAGACTCCTGCTCCTCCCCCTTCTCTGATGCTCCCTTGCTGCGCTCAGGAGTTTTTCTCGCCCACCGCTCACGCCTTCTTTGGCTGCTCTTTTTTCTTGTCAGGGGGACTCGAGCCCTGCTTCCTCATAGTCATTCATTTAGAGGCTTTTTCCCAATAGATCTGGAGGACCCACTTTGCTAACCAAGCCAGGCCTAGGATCATATCCTCTGCCATCTTTGGGCCATCATAAAGTGGATAGTCTCTCGGTGGTCCCCAAATTCTAGTTGCACCAACTCTGTCAAATGGGAAGCTGCTTTGCCTCCTATCAAGCGTGCCATTGACCTGCTCAAAATTCACAGGCCTTCTAAGCTTCCTCACATGAAGACCTAGCCTCTGCTCTGCAGATTGGCTAATAAGATAACGGGTGCTACCCGAATCTATGAGGGCTTTTACCACCACCCCTGCCCCTGAGCGGGATGCTGCAATGTCCACTCTAACTTCAAGATGTTTGACAGGTCCACTCACCATCGGGTTGTCCTCCCCCTCGCTCTTGCTGTCATAGAGGGTCATCAGCGGGAAATATGATGGGAAACAGATAATTAAAAAAGAGTAAAACTTTCCCTCCCCTCTCTTACAGTTCAGGTCACATTGACCAATTAGTCTTCCAGCATTTGTTATGAGAAGAAAACTTAGGTTCACCAAAACATCCCTTCAGTGGCCTCGGCTCTCACACTGATAGGGAACACCTGTGGATCCCAAGCTCTTCCCTCCCCCCTTGCAACTGTAGGCAAGCTAGAAGCACTATGGCAGTCTTAAAAAAATAAATCTTTGTAACTTGACATTGGACATAACCATGTTTCTACTAATGTCTGCGGGGGGGGGGAAAGCTCACTTTATAGCATTTTCCATCTACTTTATCTTGAGCTTCAGGAAATATGAAAAGGTTTCCTATCAACATTCAATACCATAACGTCACTCAAACAATCCTTTGTAGTAACTTGAGCTTGATGACTAGGAGGCCTGGCTAAAAAAAATTTCTAGCGTATTTTCAGCCATAGGTTTTTCTGTGGCTCACAGTGTGGCATATTTGTTTTAGCTGTCAAATCAATTTTATTAATTTGTGAGTATTTGTAAACAGCAATGGAGTATACTGATAAATCATTGAGCACTAAAAAGTGGTCCTCCTCTGGATCATTCTCACTGTCAGTAAATTCTATTATGCTTCAACCCACCCAAAATTGTTTGGACTGCTAAGTCGCCTTTATTAATTTGGTGGAGCCTTTGATCTACATTGGTTTAATACATTATTAAAAATACAATTTGATCATTTTCATGTGTATGGATGCAGTCATTTAAAATGATTCTGTTATAGCTATTATAAGAATGCTTTTTAATGTCTTTAGTTGGGGAGAGGGCAAAAAAGACTGCACCATTTTTTTTCTTTGTCTTTCTATCCCCACTTTCATCCTGCTCTACCAAACTGTTTGGTAACTTTTAACCTTGAAAATGTCTGTGGAAGGCAAATTATCTGTGGTTGATTGATAGTGTTACAAACAGTATCTCTCCCACCCAGGTGCAGGTTGCTTCCCAAGATTCAGTAAGGGGCATATGTAGCCATTTTTAAAACCATAAAAATTAATTACTTGAAGTCTCGTTAACAACTTTTTAATACTAATGTCCCACAATGAAAAAGTAATATGTATAAAAAGGAATGAAGTTATCTTACCTCAAGTATGACTGGGGAGCAGCCATATAATTCCTCTCAAGTTGCTGGGATGGACTCTAAAGTTGACTGGGGGAATGAATTATTGTCCGTCTGTGGTGCTGTTATTCATTTCAGTTACAGAAATGTGTAGAGTCACACTATTAGGATGCAACAAGAAACTTACTCTCTGATCAGAAGTTTGAAGGGCCAGCTTGGGGGAAACCAAAAGGATTTTTTATTCTTATTTGTTATTGCTGTCTCCTTGAATTTTCCTCTACAAACTATTACTCTTAATTTCTTATCATTCTTGGCTATTTTTATGTGATAGCAGTTCCTCTATTTAGAACATCTGGAAGTTGTTCGCTGACCAGAACTCTTCTTTTGATGCTTCTTGGGCTTCTTCTTCTTTCTTCTTCTCTTCATTGCTTTTCTTTTGCCATTGTTATTTGCATTTCCCATCTTCCTTTGGATAGAATAATTGTCTCTTGTATCTGGAATACAAAAAGCTTATCACTAAAGTAACCCAGAGGCAAAAGATAAATCTTTTAATGAACTATAACAGCTGGTTTTCCCAGGTTCAAACAAAATTGCATAGAGTAAACTATGGTATTTCTCCTGGCTTATTTCAAAAAAGAAACAAGTCTGGTTTCCTCAATGAGGTGGCAGATTAAACCAATACTGATGTAATATACTGCCCAGCAGGTGCAATTAAAAATGACCTAGTGTAAAATGAGCAATACTTCCAGGATTTCAGATAAATGTTTCTCTCCCTGTAATTGTACTTGTGTATGGCAAGAATTGATCCTGAGTTCTTCTGCATCCAGAATTTATACTCCTTTGAATAGGCCTTAGAAATCTATATCAAAATCAGTTATAAGAATTCAGTAACCGTCTCTCCTTTTGTACCACTATATTCTTTCATCTACCGCAATATTGTTTACAAAGGATTTTTACTGTTTTTTTTACTGTTTACAAAGTCTGCTTACTAGTTCAAGGATCATATGATGTCTCTACTAAAAGGTCTGCATTGGTTACTTCTAGCTTTTAAAGCCCGAAATGGCTTAGCACTTGCTAAGTTGGGGAGTCTATTATCCCATTCCAGTTAATATCCATGTTAATTAGTTTTAGTCAGTGGTGGGATTCAAATATGTGAACAACCGGTTGTCTATGTGGATGCCGCTTCCGGAAGTCCATTCTGGGCCTGGGCAACAAAAAATTAGCTACCGGTTCTGCTGAAGTGGTGCGAACCGGCTGAATCCCACCACTGGTTTTAGTACTAAAGTTGTCCATGCTAATTAGTTTTAGCACTAATTTTGTTTTAGCATGTTGGATTTTTAATTTGTTTAAGTGGTTAATCATCTGACTACTTGCTTGAGTAAAAAGTTAGGACACAAACTGAATAATAAAATGATAACAAAAATAATAAAGTGTGTCTAGCATTGAGTCTCATGTATCATTTCATAAAATCCCTGCTTTACCTTATTCATGTGGAACTTTTTTCCAAATTAATAATGTAATTAATTGTTAAGATATTTAAGAAACTGAGTATAATCCTTCATAGCTGAATATATTTATATTATTTCTTTTTAGCATATCTAAAGCTAACCACTGACAGATGTTTGAATTTCCAAAAAATGTTTGTAGTATCTTTGTCATATGAAGACTTATGAGTAGCTGCAGTTGAAATCAAAACTTACTAAGTTCAACGTGGACAAAGAAGTGCTGTTTGACCAGGGAATTTGCTCCCTCTATCTTTATCCAAAATAGACTTTCCACTGAGGATTCCATGCTTCAACTTCTGCTTCTGCTAAATCAGCCTACCACTCTATCCCATTTTAATTGCTGTTGAAAAAATCCCATTTCGCTGCCAGTTTTGGACAAACTAATTTTGTTGAAATTCAGTAAGGAAATGCTAATCTTGTTCTCTTTTTTTTCCTTTCAAATGTCTGCCATCAGCATGACAGAAGGATTAGGGCAACTAACAGATGGGGTTTCTGGCTTGGATGATTTCAGCCAGAGCCATGAATATTATGTATGGCCTGGTTATGACTATGTTGGTTGGAGCAATGAGAGCACCACAAATGGACATGTGGAAATCACCTTTGAATTTGACCGAATCAGAAATTTCACCACCATGAAGGTTAGTTGTCAAAATTGAAGATGCATTCAGAATTCCTTTCAGGTTGCCAACTAAATACTATTTAGAGTGCATGGAGAGTTGAAGGATCCTCTCTATCCAAAATGATACCTATCTTTTTCACTAACTCCTTATCTCTATATAGTATTTTTTTGTTTATGTGCAATTAAAAAAATGAAAACAAATGAAAACAGAAAATAATGAATTTGCTCACCTAGCAACATTCCTGTGAATTCAGAATATCCCAGGAACCATGGGCATATTAGTGTGTTGTTCCCATAAGCATGAATACCAAGCTGGAATAGAGGTGAATTGAAACCCTTGAATTATATAAATTTGCTTTCCTAACTTGCCATTTCACAGGCAGGCTGACTCTCATCTGGAAATTAGGGGCACATTATATATTCCAGCATATCTTATAGTTGCACACGGAGCAATCACATCTGTAAAAAATAAAAAACGGAAACAGTTGGGACACATCATGGTTTCAGAGGAAAATAAACATGACTGGTTTATAGAACATCTATCTCTATTACGCAGGTTCACTGCAATAATATGTTTGCCAAAGGAGTAAAGATTTTCAAGGAGGTGCAGTGTTACTTCCGCTCTGATGCAAATGAATGGGAACCAAACACCATCTCCTCGTTACTGGTACTAGATGATGTCAATCCCAGTGCTCGCTTTGTGACAGTACCCCTTTTCCATCGGATGGCTAATGCCATCAAATGCCAGTTCTACTTTGCTGATACCTGGATGATGTTCAGTGAGATTACCTTCCAGTCAGGTATGATGAAGGGAATTCAGGGTGTTAAAGGGAATGTAATATACTAAAATCACTGATATATTAATACACGATAGGGGCAGAGATAGCCTCATCTGAGATGTTACTTATCAATAAACTCTGGAGATAAAGTTACAGATTATTTATTTATCAAATTTCTATATCATCACCTAAGTGACTCTGTGTGGTTCACAGACAACAATGGTGGATTTTATATTGGATTCTAACAATTAGGGCTACTGCGATGTTACTATCTTGCCTTGCCAACAGCATTTTCCCCCAAGATCTTTGGCTCTCTCAAGGAGACAAAATAGGAAAATGTTTTAGTAAATAATGTAGACCAAAACAGTTTTTCCTTTTGAGTTGTACAAAGAATTTGCTGAACTAGGCATTCCAATGGATGCTCAGCATGCAGGTCAGTCTGACATGTCTCATACTTGCTAGGCTTCCATAGATAGCAGTCACTGTTTTTAATCAACGTTGATAGGAAATTTCCTATATTTATTTGCTTGCTGAGGCTTCTATATTGCTTAATTCCCACAGGCTCTGAGCAGTTGGGAAAACAAAGCCATAACAGAGGGTTTAAAAAATTTAGTTGGACAAAACATCCCCAATCACCATATTATAATAGAACCATCCACAAAGATAGACTAAACCTTCATTTCCCCGTATATTTTCTTGAACAGCCTTTGCAGCCCTTTGGAAGTTCAATAAGAAGGTGGAGTGGATAACTGGAAGTAAGTGGTTGCATAGAAAGGAGCCATCACTAGGAAGACTCATTTTGAGGGGTCTCTCTAGATGGCGTTACCTCAGAGGAGGAAAACCTTATCAAACCTTATCCGAAAGATGCTTTTTCACAGGGCAACTGGACTTTCTTGTTTTTCTTTGAAGACATTTTGCTTCTCATCCAAGAAGCTTCTCAGAGCCGAAGCTTTTTGGATATGAAGCGAAACGTCTTCAAAGAACAATAAGAAAGTCCAGTTGCCTCGTGAAAAAGCATCTTTGGGATAGCTATGACCTGGATGACTGAGAATCTCCATAGATACTTATCAAACCTTCTCTTCACATTTATGAAACTTTAGATCTCTTACCTAGGCAGACTCCAAAGTGAACATTGGAACAAAAGTCTCCCTTCCAAGTTATGGCCCCATCTTTCAGGGAAGAGGTAGACAAATGCTAAAGTATGAGAAACCACAACACAGACTTTCAGCCTCATGTTTCTTCTTTGATCTGAGATTTTAAATTGTAGGAATAAAAGCAAGATTCATTAGGGTGGCAAGTGGCTCTAATACTCGGTGAAATTCTCCTAACATTCTGAAGTGAGCTAAAATTGCACCATGAAAATGTGGCCATTTTGCTGCCAAAGTTTGCTCAGTCCTCTTTGGATATTTTAGGTGGGCTACAGAATTGCATGTAGTCTGTGGATCAAGAATTCACCATCTTTATTAGACTGTTGAAAGTAAGCAATACGTGTGGGTAAATAATTGTCATACTTAGCAAAATAAGTAGAGATTTCTAGTTGCTGTTTATTATTAATATTATTATAATAATTTATTTGTTTCCTCATAAATGTAATATTTTAGTGTAATATTACAGAAAATATTAAACTAATATGATATAAAATATTTGACACACATTTTTTAGTTTAAATTCCAGCATAAATCTCTTCAGTGTAATAAAGTTTATGTAGTCAGATTACTGAGTTGTGAATAAAAACACAATAAGATGATTCTATTTTAGACTGTAATTAAAGAAAATTACATTCTAAAGTTCTTAGATTAAGGTATTTAAAGACAACCTATTGGGAAAGGAACTTGTCCCTCTTTTTGGAAAAAAAAAGAATCCTAGATTCCACTGATTAAACCTTAAACCTACCTACCTACCTACCTTCCTTCCTTCCTTCCTTCCTTCCTTCCTTCCTTCCTCCTTCTTTCTTTCTTTCTTTCTTTCTTTCTTTCTTTCTTTCTTTCTTTCTTTCTTTCTTTCTTTCTTTCTTTCTTTCTTTCTTTCCTTTTTAGTTCAATTTAATTCAATTTAATCTTAGAACTGTAATGGTGCTTCCAGTTTGTCAGAATCTGAAGCTTTAATGCTGATCACAGATATCAAAAGAATCCGAGACAGATGTTGTTTTTTAATTTTGCAAGAGATCCTTTCTAGATTCACACCAGGTTTTGAACTGGCAATCGGTTTGCTAGATTTATTTTATTTTTGATTGCATATTCTCTTCAATTAGCACATGGAATATTGTTATCAGTAATAATGCATAGTCCTTACTTGTCCCTGAAGAAAACATTAGATTTATATTCAGTGCATTTATACCTTTATACTTTGTTTTTCTAACAAGCATATTCATTGCAAAGGCAGATGCAGTTTGAAACATACAGCTTTGATTTGATATCTGACATACTTGAGCTCATTCAAACTGGATTACTGTCTAAACTAAAAGTTTGCAATTGTCTCTACTATGCTATGAATATCAGTAATGTTTTCTTTTTTCTTTTTCTTTTTTCTTAGATACAGCTATGTACAACAATTCTGGAGCCCTTCCTGAGTCTTCAATGACTCCCACTACCTATGGTATGTACGAGGCTTGCTATGTCAGGATCTCTAAGCAAATATCCATAAATGTATTTTTATTGAGTGCCACCAAATTTGTGTGTGTGTGTGTGTGTGTGTGTGTGTGTGTGTGTGTGTTTATATACAGGATCCCCCCCTCGTAGCAGGTTTCTTCCGGCAAGAGTGAATGCTACTGAAGGTGAAAGGGAATATTTTTCTAAATTGGTGCTTTGAAATTTGATATGTCCCCTTTGGCAGCCATTTTTCAGAAGTACTCATAGCACTTTCTTAGTATATGGCATGCTATATGTTATGACTTGTGGTTATAACTATAAATTTATTTACTTACATTCCCAACATTCAGTACAAGTCTCAGGAATTGTTCACCACTCTTGCGTTAACTTGAAATGTGCAACATCATAGGAAAAATAATTAGTTGTCCAGGCTACCTTTTCAAAGATACTTAATGGATATTCCCAGAATCAGTGTCATTGGGTATGCAATTAAGTGTGCATGTTTGTGTATAAAACTGAGTAGTAATAGGATAATGTTTATAAAACCAGAAAAAAGCTTAACAAAGGAAAAATAGAACAATGTCCATATATTAAAGAAATATAGATATGAAAACATACAAACTTATAAGGTATTGTAGGGATTCTGTTATCAAAAAAGGAAATTCTAATTCTAATTGCTGGATTCAAACTTTAAGTCATTGTCATTTAGGTTCCCAAAATCTTTTTCTTTACCACCTTCAGTCTTTCACTTCTATTTTGCTCCTGTTCTTTACTATTTCTGATACCTTCAGTAGTAATTCTCCGCACCTCTGTAAGGAAATCTATCTTTTTCTTGGGAACCATTCCTGCATGAAAGGTTTATAGCCCTTAGACAGAGGTTTTCTATACCGAGAGGTAAGTAAACTATCAAATGCTTAACAAATTAAATGTAAAGAGACAACACAATGTTATACATATAGTTTACAAATCTATTCCATTCAATTATGACATCAGAAGTTACTAGAACTAAGGAGACACTAACTTTTCTCATTTTCCCTTGGCCTGTCCCCACCATGACAAATGATTTAGCTGCTGAGAAAAGATTCTGAAACAAAATGGAGTAGGGTGGTTTATTGAATAAGCAGTAATTATGAAGTAGTTTTAATTTGAAAGCAAAAAAAGTGCTTCAGAGAGTATGTGGGCACATACATAAGCCCTGTCAACCACAAGCATTTTTTTCCCAGGACTCAAATTGAGAAGGACAGCCATGTGATTCCCATGCAGCTCCTTTCTATACTTCTATTTTTATTCCTGGAAGATAGAATTGTTCCAGAAAATATTTAACAAATACAGTAAAACATAGGTAACCCATACAATATTTTAAAACTTAATAACAAAAGATCCTTTTGGTGCCAAAAGAATAGCATAGGTTCAGTCCTTGAGGGAAAGTCTTTCCAGTGCTAAACTAAAACAGTAAAGCTTTTAACTGCAGTGGTCGCTGCCATATCTTCAAAATCTAGTAGCTAAATAGGGGTCTCCAGATGTTATCTTGGGAACCAGATTGATGCAATAATTACAGCATCAGGATAGAAACTGGGAGATTGTGAATTCTAGCCCCACCTTAAGCACAAAACCAGTTGCATGACCTTGGACCAGTCACTTTCTCTCAGCCCCAGGAAGGAGATGCTAGCAAATTACTTCTGAAAAATCTTGCCAAGAAAACTGCAGGGACTAGTCCAAGCAGTTGTCAAGGAGTCAAAAATTGACTCAAAGGGACACACTTCCTCTCTAAAAAAAATATCTTAATTTTAGGACAATTTTATGCAGTAAAGCATAGTATGTCAACTGTCTTGGCCCTAAGTTGCTTCTGGATTTAAAAAATAAAAATAGTACCTGAAATTATGCTTCAAACAAAGAACATAAAAATGAACATTTTGAATGATGCTGTTCCGTTTTTAGCTTATCACTAATACTAACACCAGCACTGTGTTAGCATGATTGGACTAATTTCGATATTAATAATTGAATATCTCTTTACACTTGGTGGCTTGTCCAGCTGTTACTTATGTGATAGATTGTGTACAGTAATTGTCATCTATTTAATTCAAAAATTCACATTAAAAAAACTGTTATCATTATAGTAAGAGAAAATTGTATCTTTCTAGTTAATAAATAATAAATTACACATTATTATTATGTGGTGGCACAGTGGTTAGAATGCTGTATTGCAGGCTAACTCACTGCTCACTGCCAGGATTTTAATTCTGACCGGCTCAAGGTTGACTCAGCCTTCCATCCTTCCGAGGTCGGTAAAATGAGGACCCAGATTGTTGGGGGCAATATGCTGACTCTGTAAACCACTTAGAGAGGGCTGCAAAGCACTGTGAAGCGGTATATAAGTCTAAATGCTATAGCTATTGCTATTATTTATTTAATTTATAATATAAATTGTATAATTGTATAGCCATCCACCTCCCACAAAAAGGAAATGTTATCAATGACTGATGAGAAATTGTAATATTCTTATAACAGAAAGACTTGCTTCAAAATAGACATCAGGATCCTGTTCAGTAATAGACATTTACACTGTGTTGCACTTTAAAATGTCTGGTAAAATACTACTGGTAATTTGGAGGAAGAGAGGAATGAAATCCCACAAGAATTGGCAGCTAGCGGCTATCCTGTCTTTGTTTTCATCATTTCACCTAAAACTTACACTACACAATTATCCTTGTCTCTTCTAACAGATCCTACTCTCAAAGTAGATGACAGCAACACTCGCATCTTAATTGGCTGTTTAGTGGCAATCATCTTTATCCTTGTGGCTATCATTGTAATCATTCTCTGGAGGCAGTTTTGGCAGAAGATGTTAGAAAAGGTAAGATTACAGGCAGATGCCAGGAATGCCCATATCATAAATGAGGTGAATTTCTGGTTTAATGGCTAGAGCTCAATATTATTATTGAAATTGGCTAATGAAATTAACTTCTGGTTTAAAGGTTATTAATAAAAATTGGGAAGTAAATGTGTGTGTGTGTGCGTGCATGTGCATGCTCATGCATATTTTTATGTACACATAGTTCCTCATGCACCCAAAGAGTCTTGACCTAATTGTGACTGACTGATTATGTGCCATCGAGTTTTTTTCAACTCTGTTCTGAACCCAAAATCTGGATTGAAATAAATTCAGATGTGTGAAGACTGTTGGAAATGTCCCCTGTCTCTGTAATGTAGTTATTAAGGGTGTTGTGCTATATTAAATATATCATCTAGAATTAATTGCATTCAATGAAGTATTTTTTTTATTCTTTTATATCATAATTTCTGTTTGCAAATATCCTACACATGTGAACAGAAGAGTACGCAAACACGAAAAGTGACCCATTCAAATCTCTGTACCATGGAAAGCTTCTAAGTTGTTTCACATAAATATTATTTGAACAGAGATGCCACCTTATGTTAGAATCTGCTCAATAATATACTCTGTCATTGATCAATTTATAGTGAATATGATCAGCATATGAATTTTCTTTTGATTTCTAGGCCTCTCGCCGGATGCTGGATGATGAAATGACTGTGAGTCTCTCTCTACCCAGCGAATCCAATATGTTCCACCACAGCAGCTCCACACCATCCAGTGAACAAGAATCAAACTCCACTTATGACCGCATATTCCCCCTTGGAGCTGACTATCAAGAACCATCGCGATTGATCCACAAGCTTCCTGAATTCATCTCAGGGGAAGATGAGGCAGGTCAGATTGGTCAATATGTGTAAAGAGACTGTGGACAAATTCCCACTTCTACTAGAATAATCTAGGATAAGAAAATGTGGCTGTTGTGATTATACATGTGCAGCATGAGATGATGGATGGATGGATGGATGGATGGATGGATGGATGGATGGATGGATAGATGGATGGATGGATGGATGGATGGATGGATGGATGGATGGATGGATTGACCAAATCTTGTGGGTTGCTTATCCCCTTCTATCTGTCACCAGCTGCAATTGGAAAAGAAACATCTGCCAATCATAGTTCTGATGGGGCTGGACTGGAAGAGTCTTTTTTATTATATCTAGGCTGTTTCATTTCTTCCCAGCCCATTCTGTTACACTCTGAGCCAAATGATTTTTGTTTAAAAAATGAAAATGATGAAGAGAGATGAGTAACAAAGAGCACTTTTATTTAGGATTTCTCTTAGGCAGCACATGCTGGCTTCTGGATTCCTATATATTTTGTTCAAAGGATTCCACTATTTTAGCTTTGTCCTAAACTGGTGTTTCTAGCTATACAATTCTGTATAGCTGGCTGAGCAGTCTATGCTAAGGAGAAAAGTTCTGACAGACCATCATTTAAATTTGCAGTGATAAGGCTAATGGCTCAATGAAAGCTATGAAAAGAAATCAAGCATGCAGCTAGAGCAGAGTTATCAAACCCCCACAAGGAGAACCTCTGCAGTTCTATCTTGTGCAAATCTGGATGGCCACCAGCTAAGCACTGTTGTGTCCCACTTTTTAGGAAGGCAATAGTCAAATGATGGCATACAAGGTTGACCAGGGACAGAAAGACATATTTCTTTGTGTGTCTCTTTAATCCCTCTGACATCTACTCATGTGACTTGTCCCCTGATATACTGGGTGACATACTTACTGCTGGTTTTGGATGCTATCACCTTAAGGGAGAAGCAATACTTTAACACTAGTAGAACTGAAGAACACGTAGGGCTGCCTCACTCGTGAACTGGGGACATGAAGACAATGTCATGGGATAACTGAAGAAAAAAGGTACATCAGGGTGTGTTTCAGATGATGCAAGTGAGTCTAGAATTGCAGAAATAGGCCTGAAGCCATGGAAGGGGAAAAAATAAAGATAGAATATGATTCGGGGCATAATATTTATTTTCTTAAAAATCATAGCTTTTAGACAGACAGACCAGACAGATAGATGGATGGATGATAATCTTTATTGTTATTTTTTACTGTGGGCACATTGGCACACATTAGAAATGAAATTTTTTTGCTTCTCTCAAAAGTGTACATACCGTATTTTTCGCTCTATAAGACGCACTTTTTCTCCCCCAAAAGGTGGGGGAAAATGTCTGTGCGTCTTATGGAGCGAATGCTGCCTGGAGCTGAAGCCTGAGTGCAGGGGAGGAGAGCATATACTGGCAGGGAAGCCTTACGTCACTAGGTGGCGCTCTAACACAACACCATCGAGTATTGCTAGAAAGGAAG